TGGATGGATGGATGGATGGATGGATGATGGATGGATGGATGGATGGATGGATGGATGGATGGATGGATGATGGATGGATGGATGGATGGATGATGGATGGATGGATGGATGATGGATGGATGGATGGATGATGGATGGATGGATGATGGATGATGGATGGATGGATGGATGGAAGAAGAGAAGAGAACAGAAGAGGCTGACCTCTCCTTCTGTTCTAGCAATCAGTCAGCTTCTTTAGCCGACTGACAGCTCCACATCTTCATAGCTTGACCTGCGATAATGATATAATTCCACCAACACAAAGAGGTAGGCTGTGTTGTTTGATTTTGAGTGAATAAAAGTTGTAAGGGATATTTGAGTCCTCTATAAAAACAACCTTATAATAATAAGTTGATAACATGACTTAAAGCTGAATGAGCTGATCATGAGGTGCATCAAACCTTCAGGTTGCTCATCTAGGCCTGTGGTCTGTGGGGGTGTGGGGGAGACAACCGCAGCAGACAGGTCAGATGTGCCGGAAGAAAAGGGATTCAGTGAAAGAGACTTTTGCTCTGGAGTGGGACTCTGAGGCTCCACCTGAGTTTGAGTCTCAAAGGATTTCAGCCATGTGCTTTGCAGCTTCCCTGAGGATAGAAACAATAATATCAACCGCTCATTGTGCTGTGGGTGTTTAGTATGGTGTCACATTTATTGCAAAACGCCTACGAGCAAAATAAACACTCGCATGTAAGTTAAACTACTACTGCATATGGTTTATCTACCACTGTACAACAAAATTACATATGCACGAGAAATCAACGCGGGATTGTTGTGCAAAAGGATATCCTGCAGATAATACATAAATTATTAACTAGAGTTGTAGTTAATTATTTAACTTATTCAAAATTGGAAGTGAAATCAATTTAGTGTTCTTAATTAAATAATTGTAGCTCTAATTTGCTTACTTACCAGAGTTTGTGCCTTTCACCTCTGGATGGTTCCTGGATCGGCTGTTAAAATCCAGCTATTTCCACCAATTTAGTGGCCTAGGCTAGGTTATCAGCAAGCTGTTAATAATTAATCGAGGAAATATTTATCTCTGTCTATTCAACCTATTACAAAAAGAGGGTGGATCTGGCCTGAGTGATAAACCATTTGTATATGAATAGCATCCAACTGCAAGTTAAACAATGACGTCTTATTATAATAATTCAGGATTACAGAAATCTAACATCTAAGCACAGCACTACACGCTATTAGAAAATAAACATGAGGTAGATTAAGTGACTATTTACATCACACTTATTTGAGCCATTAAACCAGAGTTCTTATAACCAGCATAGATTAAGTCGAGATTTCACTCTTTCTGCCCGTCTCTCACTCAAGCGCAGCACCTCATTAAAGCCTCAAATGGAAAGTGGATGGGTGTTACTTTGAGACGTGTTGCAGTCCGGGGAAGGGAGCTGCGGTTCGGCCTCAGCTCGGTGCGGGTCCGTCTCACCGGGGTCCGTTCTCTGAAGAATTTTAGATCAGTCTGATGCTACAGCGGAGGAACTTGATGGGCTTTTAAAAATCGAGGAAGGCTACTTCTGGCTATCGAAAGCAAAGGCGTCCCTCTGCAGATAGGCTGTGATTGGTATGGAGGTCCTCACAAAGAGGGGAAAATCCACGTAGCGTTCATCTTCGGAGATCCCCGTCTCACCCAGTTCAGCGGGCGCTATGCACGATGGGTCAATGCAATCCGTGATTTTTGACGCAGGAAAACGAAAGCTATTTCCAGTTAGCTTTCTTTAGCATTTCACGTGAAATGTGACTCTCCTCACAGACGGCGTAACCCAGGGAAAGAGACCGATTTCATTTCTCGCCGCTTAGATTTAAACCCTGAATGACGTAGGGGTATTTCCTGCTGGGATTCCAGCCTTCTTGTCAGCTGATTGGACCATGCGTGAGCTGGCTGTGCCAGGGCTGGAGATTTTCAGAACTTTCCAGAATCATTCTTTTGTTCTCCTTGTGTAAAAGGAGGGATTGATGTGGTTCATCAAATTGATTTGTCTCCATTGTGGCAATATTTCCCAACAGGATTGTGTGTGGGATCTCACCGCGGGCAGGATTTTCTATCCAGCGGTCACAATCGAGGATGGCTGCACTCTCAAAAGCATCTCCGCCCTCGGACTGATTTTCTTCCTGCACGAAAATGTGTTTTGACAGGTTGGGCAGAGGGAAACCTCTTCTGTGAGCCTCGTCTTGATTGGTCTTTGCAGACACGATCACACAGGAAGTAGTGTCAGGAAGGCTTCTTGAAACTACTTCCTGTGTGATTGTGTCTGCAAGGACCAATCAGGAGGAGGGTTACAGAAAACGGTTGATTTCCACCTAACTTGTCAAAACACATTTACCTTTACTTGGGGAGAGAATCAGTTCAAGGGCAGAGACACTTGTGGAGCGCAGCCGTCCTTGAGCTTGGCCGCTGGACAGGAAATTGTACGTCCTCAGCCCGATCCCAGGCGCTTGCGGCGCTCCTCTCAGAGCAGCAGTTTTTCGCACGTGTGATTTTGTTGTTCGGCGGTAGATAAACCATGCGCAGAAGTAGTTTAACATACATGCGAGTATGTTTATTTTGCTGGTAGGCATTTTGAAATAAATGTGACACCATAGTTTAGTAACAGTTAGTTGTGCTCCTACCAGGTCGGGACGCAGCAGGAGGTGTTTTGTTATTGACTTCAAAGCTCTGCTCCTTCTGTTTGAATATGTCTCTGGGATTAAACGATCTCTGAGAAATCAATGACTTTGCCTCCTGGGAATGAAATAAAAAACAGCAATTACATGAAAGTCTGACAGACCAGGAAAGGACTATTTAGGTGCATTGGGAACCAGTGTAATCTAAAGGAGGGTACATCTATAATTAGATAATGAACCAGATTAAGATATTTGGAGCTGAAGGACCTAAGCCGTCATGATCTTGGCACTGATGGTTCGGTTTTTCCCTTTGCTCCTTGCTCCCCTGTCTTATTGGTTCTTCGGCTGATTAACGCCGATCATTTCCACCTGGTTCCTCTGCTATTCATGTTGTGTGCTTGCCTTCCATCAGTGCCAGGTTATTCGAGTGTTTTGGTGAGACTAACTCTAGCTTTCTGAAGTCTGTTCTGTTTTCATGGATGTGACCTGTTTCTGCCATGTGGATCCAGAGTTTTGCTTTGCCCCTGTCTGATCCGTTTGTCTAATCTGTTTTGGAATTGATTCCTGGATTCTACCGGCTCCAGAACCTGGACCTGACTTCTGACTCCAGCTTTGGATTTCCCCTTTGGACGCTGTTGCTGCTTGGCGTCGGATGGCGCCTGCTCCGCTCGCTCGCTAGGAATTCTAGGGGCAGCGCCCGTCATAAGCTGGGGACTCATTCCCCTCTTAGCTTCACATTTGTGTCTCCAGTCCAGTCTAGGTGAACATCAATGTATTTATACTCCTCCATCACATCCACTTATTCTATCCTGATGTTAACAATGTTGAAGATCAAATGATAACCATAGTCTAAGAGCCTTTAGGAGTCCAACCCTCATGTAAAAGACCAAGAACCCTGGTGTAAGCAAATGACAGTAATAATCCTTATTAATAATCATTTATTGGTATTACCCTCCATTTAAATGACCAATTAGCTATATCTTCCAGTTCTAGTTATTTAACATAATCATATCTTCTACAATTACACAACAGGATTCAAGGTTAGTTCTACTAGCATCTCCTATGCCTGCTCTTTAATGAGTCACCAAACTTTTTTTTCCTCCATCATAGGTAAGTAAGTACAATTTTTTTCAGTTTAAATCTAAGTTAGTTCATTCAGTGACTCCATTCTGGAGAGAAATATCAGCTGTGCGGCTGCCATCAACACCTTTGTTTACGGATGTTGGAGATTGGTCTGTTTTCCAGTGTAGTCCTGTTTCTCTGACTTTAACTAACTGGATGTGCTCTCTTCATCCTCTGACATGGGAGCTGGCTTGAAGCTTGTCTTCCTGGCTGTGTGTTGACAGCTGCCTTTTGGATCTCTGCTTCTTTTTCTATGTCTGCTTCTGTCTCCTTGAACCCCAGTGGGCCTCAGCAGATGGCCGCTCACACTGAGCCTCATTTTACAGGAGGTTTCTTCCTATTCAAAGGGAGTTTTTCCTCTCCATTGTCGCTACAAGCATGCTTGGTGTGAAGGATTGCTTTTGAATCAATGAGTCGATGCAATCAACTGGTTTTCCTTAGATAGAAAACTTTGAACTTATCTGACTGTATGATCTGGTTCAACTGTCTCTGACATGTTTTGTGAACTGACACTGAACTGAATAGAATAATATTCTGTATAAGTTGCTGTTACATCCATGTGCTCATTGAGCCATACTCACATTAGCTTTCTGAACAGATGCTGCAGCGTTGATTCCTGTTACCTTCTTTGTGTTTTCCTGCTGATTCTATAATAGTGAGATAGTTTCAAATTAAATAACTTGCTAAAAAAGAGAAACATAAACAATGGAAACATCATGTGTAAAGTTTGTTCTAAATCTCATTCAGATCTAAGGACCCCATAAGTTGAAAAATGTCTAACGGAGGGCTTAGTAGAAGACACACACCAGTTTCCACCATAAAACAAGCAACCATGGAAAGAGCTCAAATGCTGGTGGGTTCTAAAAGAGTCGTCAGCAGCAAAGTCTGAGCTCTGCATAAGGCCATGAGGCAAAATGAAATGGTTTGTCTCTTCACTCTGGGAGTTGGTGAAGACAGATGTGTCTGGATCTCTACTCACATCCTCAACCAAACAAGATGGAAATGTAAAAAAAAAAAGCCCCCCCTCCTGTTCTGACCTGGGCATTCTGAGATAATTACACATATTTTGACTTTATTTGAAGCTGAATGGGTTGATTGCACTGCATCACCCACAGTGGCCACACAATGATGGAGGTTTACTTGCAAACAAGACAATTCTCACAAAAAGGCATTAATACAGCTAGAACCAAGTCCTTAAAATGGAAGTCTTTTTCTTGTCAGGATGAGGGAGTTATTTATAGTAAATGGCATGTACTAATATAGCGCCTTTATTCAAGTTAGGAGACTTGACCAAAGCGCTTTACACTACATTCATTCACCCATTCACGCACACACTCACCCACTGATGGTTGCAAGCTACATTGTAGCCACAGCTGTCCTGGGGCTCACTGACAGAAGCGGGGCTGCCGTACACTGGCACCACCGGGCCCTCTGACCACCATCAGTAGACAATGCAGGTGAAGTGTCTTGCCCAAGGACACAACGACACTGATAGTCGGAGTCGGTGCTTGAACCGTCAACCCTTCGATTTCAGGGCAAACTCCTACATCCAACGCCACTGTCGCCCCGCAAGTTCATCCATCATATGAGTCTGGTTCAGAAACCCAGCTGCAGTGACCGTCTTTGCTGAGCATTAAGATCCTCAGCAACTATTAATAAGACCAAACAGGCTGACCAACAGCTGACCAATGTGCCTGAAACACCCAGAGTCTAATAACTTGTTCTAGTTTTACTAACCGTATGCACAAGGAAGAATATATTCCAACAGAGGGTTAGAGAAAACTATACAGTTTATAATCACCGCCTGGGTTCCCTCAGCTGTTTAAATTATGCTCTGACGTAGAGAATCTTTTTTTGGAAACAGAAATTACAGTTAGATTGTTCTCTTGGATGCAGCTGGGGGAAATGAACATTGTCGACTCTGTTAATATCAAAGGTGGAACTACCAGGAACACCTCAAATATTCTGGCTTTTGTATTTTTAACTTATAAGTGAACAATTCTTACTAAAATGCATCTCCTAGTTACATTATTACTTTATTTTACTTTCAAATGCTGGATTGTCTTCAGCAGATGTATAGTATTTAGAATGAGTAGGAAACAAACCGGACCAGACCGTCTTATTGTAATCACCTACCAGTTGGAGTAGCTCCCTTTCTTTTTCTTCCTCTTCTTTCTTTTTCTGAAGCATCCTGCCAGGTAGAAGGATAGAAATATCTCTGATGAACCTTTCTTGGTGAACACACTTGGTTTCATATTACGGTTATAATCACTCACTGCCGTTGTTCAATCTGCTGCGTTCTCTCCTTTGCTCTCCTCTCCCTCTCCTTCGCCTGTTTCTCATCCAAGTCCCTCCTCTCCCCCTCCAGCTTCTGCCTTTCCTGCTCCGCTCTCCTGCTCTCCTCCTTTCGCCATACCTCTTCATCCCTCTAAGAAGAGACATATATCCGACTTACACCTGGTAACAAAGCAGATACTGTGGTATGTAAGGCTGCAGGTGTTTTGCATGACAGGACAAACCTGAGTCTGGTCCCAGAAGTTATCCTTGTTGGTTTGTTGGATCTCCACTACAGCGTTGATTTTTCTGTAGACAGAACCCTGTTAAAAGAAGAAAAGAGTTAGCATGTTGTAAAAAATCTACTTTGGACAAGTAGTGTTAAGCACAAAGATTAGCTCTAAAAATAACCATCAAATTTGGACATAGATCAGCTGCAGGTCTAAATGATTTAAGATCTAGAATGAGCAACAGAAGGAATAGACCAGGGAAGTCAAACCAGGAAGGGCCATGTGGCTGCAGGTTTTCTTTTCAACCAAGCAATAGCACGCAGACTCCATTCATCTCATCAAGTCATCCTGTTAAGACTAGACTATTAGGAACTATATTTATCCAACATTATACTGGGCAAGTAAAAATTGTTTCTGGGCAAATTAAATGTGAAAGTCACTTGCCCAGAGGGCAAGTGATAAAAATCCTTAACGTCAACCCCTGGCATTGTTAAGGTTCAGCTACCTCATCTTCAGCCACTGGTACACATGATAATGGCCATCTAAGGGCAAAGTATATGACTCTTTTTTATTCATTATATTTATCTATTAATTATTTATTATTATTTATTAATTATTTCTTTCAACTTCATGTATGTGGAATTGTTCTCACCACTTGCTCCCTCGGGGGATCTAAGTAGTTTTGCTGTTTGTGGAAGTTATAGTTGGCTCCAGAAGCTTTGGCCACTTTGTTTAGGATCGTTTCTGGCTCCACATCCTCCTCTGTACGCGCGTTTATAGTCACATGGGCTCCCTAGGATCAAATGAGTCAAAACAATATGGGGCAGATGAAATATGAATTGCATAGGCTACGTTGTCAACTGGTAAAAGAATTGATTACAAAATTCAGACTTACCTTCAAAAAATTTGCAATGGAAGTCAGGTGGTTGGCGCACATGCCTTTACGAGAGTCCTTCACGCCTTCACCAGTCTACGTTAAGAGAGATGGTGTAATCCTATTAGGCTGTGCCTTACAGTTAACGTGGAAAGTAACAAAATATGTAAACGAACATAAACTTCAGGAGGCCAGTCCTGCAGAGGTTGAACGGCGCTTTAAAAAAGGTTCTTTACAGTTTTAGCATCTTTGACACTCTATGATGCTTTAGCTCATGAAACAAATTAAAATATCAGATAAAGATGAGCAAAGTAAAAACAAAAAATTTTTCAATGAATGTGAAAAGAATTTATCATTTAAAACCAACATGCTGTACGTTAAAACTATATCCGCTGGTTGAATGTAAATTAACTGATTAACTGATTAAAAAGGTTTTGGTTATCTGAGTTTTTAGTTTATAATGATTAGGCCTAAATAGACCAGAATCAGTAATAATTTAAATAACCTGTCAAACAACATGACATTTTTGATAGAAATTAAATGAATAGTAAATAACACAATTAATGTACTTTATAGAGTTAATTCAATAAAAACATCTGGATGAATTGGTTAAATCCATGCTCAGCAGAATTATGCTGGGACCTTTTCTGGTATATTTGCAAACCTGAGGAATGACTGGACTTACGAAGACTGAAGTCTGTTCCTAACATAGAAGATCTCATATTTAATGTTATGAGTCGGTTTAAAAGTAGTTGGGGATTAGTTACTAAAATGAATACGAGTCCCTATAAAGTCTTAATACCGGGGAAATAGGAAATTGTCTGAGATGAATAGACACAGAAAGAGAGACTTACCCAGTTTATAAGGACATATTTAGGAAGACCTGAATTGGGGTCTGGGACTCGACAGAATGCATACATGATTTTCCCAGAGTTCAGCTCCTCCACCAGCTCCTCCAACCCTCCACCTGAACATACAAACCCACACCTACATTATTATAAATGCATTTAATATGACTTTATGTAAAAAAAAGATTTCTATTCAATTTTTCCTGGTAAAGATCCAATATATTCATCAAAGACACACTTAGAATAGAAAAGTAACTGTTTGAAGAGAAAGAATCTGTATTTATGGTCAGGAATAATGTTTATCATCTGGAATGGGCTTGTTAAACCTCAGTTGTTAATCATAGATGCTTTTTCCTATCAGTACCATCCTATAAGGTATAAATTATTATTATTTTTTGTTACTGTATTTTAATCTTTGACTGCATACGTCAAAATGTTTAATGAAGGCAAAGTGAAGATACAGAGCAACCTAGATAGATATAAGAGCCTAATAAAAAATAAAGTAACTCTTCTCATTGCCAGGCTTTATAAAGGGAAACATGACAACCACGACCGTGACTCTGTGAAAAAAGACGCAGCAGGTAACCGAGGCAGTTCGATGGGTGTGTCGAAATATGACTCACCCACCAGGTGACAGTTCACAAAAGGACAACAACAGCAAATGTTTTTTCTCAGCTCTTTGTTTTGCCACCTGAGCCACTGCTCTGTCAGACCAGCATACCTATAGTAAATACACATGCGCAACTTGTCAGAATTTCCTTTGATCCCTTTAGTTTTGTATGAAAAATATATTTTAAACTACCTCAACCGCCGTGTATCCCTTTCGTCATGCACAAAAAAACTATTTAAGGTCAGTAAGTAATTTTCTTTTTTTTTTGTACATGACTAAAGGGATACACGTCCATAGTTTAAAGTCTATTTTTCGTACAAAATTAAAGAGATAAACTAAAAGGATAAAAATGGGTATTGTCTATGGGTATACTGGTCTGACAGAACACCGCCACACTCTGTCTGTACCATCACTCTGCTAACGTTTGATTTATTATTGTTATTGTTTAAGTCTGGGAATTCATTGACTGTAAGAAGAGGATTTAAAGGGAGGGATCGCTCCAGGCAAAAGAGCTGGGAATAATCTCCAAGGCGTAAATGTCTTCAGGGGCCTAAATAACAAAAGGGTCTTTCCACCCGCCCTGGAAGTGGAGCGCTACTCATAGGAGATACAAAGTGCACAGTACAGCAGGGGCCACATTCCCCTCCCTGACTGGTTTTCAGGAGGGCTAAGAGATCTATGTCAATTCACTTTTTGCAGAAGGAGCAAAAGAAAAAGGCAAAAAAAGTTGTAATAACCTCTGAGACATAAGCGCCTCCAGGGATCTCCTAGTGAGTCAGATTGGTGATGGTGGAACAGAGCAGTGATTCCCGACAGGGGGCACTTGTACTCCTATCGGTCCGCGGGTGCATTGCAAAGGTTGCATGAAAATATTAAATTTTTTAGGTAATAAAATAAAATAGGGCTTGGAAAATTAAACAAGCTTTTATCAACCAAAAAGTAAGTTTTTCCTGTGAGTTTGCTTTCAGCTTTGACACATATCAGAACCAAGCAGAGGAGCACATTGGATGTAGAGAACAGCCTGGGGTCAGTTGTTTTTCACACTGAGCTCATCAAAGCAGCTCAGGGGTCTGGATTAAAACAAACTAAAACTAATTAAGTCAGTCAATATTTTTTTGTAAAGTATTTTGTTCCCAATTCATCAGGTTTACTTGTGATTATAAGGGAGCTCCAGTTTTATAAATACAGTAGCAGCCATTCAAAATGGCCAACTTCCAGCCACTGGCCTTCTCCTGGGAATATTTTTTTACTCTGACTCCAACTTTAGAGCTTAATGTCGACAAATCATGACAGAAAGAATGTTTTAGTACAAAGATTGATTTTTAAAAATGAATCTTAGGGGACCAGCCAAGGGCCAATCAAGGAAAGTGGGGAAATTTTAAATGGCTATTACTGTACAGGTTTAAAATATGATTTTTATTTTGTATTTATTTTGATTTGTTATTAACTTTTAACTATTAAAAAGAATTCAAAATCCCAAGTTAAAAGTAAGTAAAATAGTTTTTATTTATTAGCAGTTATTGTAAATTCATCAATCTTTAAAACTTTTGAATGAGAGGTGGGACTCGTGGTAAGACAACATGCCCAAAGTGGGACACAAGTCAAAAATGGTAAGGAAACACAGGTATAGAGAGGAAGCTGGAGAGCAGCACCTGGTTTTCTTTGTTCTGTCGCAGTGAAAAAACAGTTAAACAAAACAGTAAAGCTTAAGCGAGGATAGAGAAATGGATGCCAAATTTAAATCTGACCAGCATGCTGGGTCCCTTGGTCTCCATGATTCTCGGAAAGAAGTATCTATGCTTTTTTTTTTATCTCTGCTTCTGTCTCCTTGAACCCCAGTGGGCCTCAGCAGATGGCCGCTCACACTGAGCCTGGTTCTGCTGGAGGTTTCTTCCTGTTCAAAGGGAGTTTTTCCTCTCCACTGTCGCTACAAGCATGCTTAGTGTGAGGGATTGCTGAATAGTCAATGAGTCGATGCAATCAGCTGGTTTTCCTTAGATAGAAAACTTTGAATCAATTTGACTGTATGATCTGGTTGAATTGTAAAATGCCTTGAGATGACATCTGTTGTGAATTGGTGCTACAGAAATAAACTGAGTTGAACTGAATTGAATTCTGTTCATTCGATAATGTTCTCTAACAAACCTTTGGGGCCTGAAACTAAACAGTACCTGAGGTAAAAATTAGGGATGCACGATATAATCGGCCCCCTATCGGTATCGGCCTTAAAACTGAATATCGGACATCGGCCCCCCCACGATATTTAACCCGATATTTGATCAGCTTCTGGGTTTCTAAAGTCTAAAAAAAAAATAAAATAAATACTACTTCTTCTTCTTCCTCAAAAACTTCTTTTTTACAGACTTAAAAACTTCTAAAGACGAGGGAAAAAATATTGATACATTAAAATATCCCAATATCTTCATATGCTGATATATTGCCATTTAAAAACACCATATCAATCTCTTTTACTAATGAAATATTGCTATATGTCATCGTTATGCTACGAAATCCCCCGAAAATTCACAAAATTTTGCAATATTTTTATATGTTGATATATTGACGCGGTATCGATCTATTTTACTAACAAAATCTCACAAGAATTTGCAAAATATCACGAGAGTTTGTAACAGAACGATGAAATTTCACGAGATTTTGAAAGTAAAATAGATCGATACCACGTTTTTAAAAATCTATTTGATATCAGCATATGAAAATATATTTGAGTATATTATTTTTCAAAGTGTCAGAAATGGATAACAAAACTGCTATTTTCAATGACTACTTATTTTGTCCAGCTTTAACATCGGTATCGATATCGGTTATCGGCTACATGAGTTTTAAAATATCGGCATATCGGATATCGGCCAAAATCACAATATCGTGCATCCCTATTAAAAATATACACGGTAAGAGTCATTTTACTAGTTAAAGTTGTTGAAAACCTTAAATAAAATGCAGTGCTCCAGAGATTAGATGGCTGAATCTAAAGGCACGAACCAACACCTGCATTTTTATGATAAAATATATCATTTTAACAACATCAAATCCCAATAAATTATTTCAAAGCTTTTAGCTGTAACAGGACACAAACTTAATTCAGACTTAAAGTTTAAAATGTAAATAGTCCTTTTTTCAAATGTGCTAAATGTCTCTTTAAAAGAAAAAAAGACTGATAAAGCAAATCTTAACGGTAATTTTCCACTTCAAGGGAATTAAAAACACCGGCAGTCTCAGCAAGTCCTTCTTATCTGAGCTGCTTCGTGAACATGAGTAAACTGCAAAAACAATCTAAAAATAAGCCAGCATTTCTTTAATTAAGTGTATTTACTTAAATTCAAGCAGGTAAATAAGATGATCTGCCAATGGAAGGAGTTTTTTACTCTTAAAATAAGCTAAACTACATAATATGCACTTGAAATAAGACAATGCAATTGTTTTTTCTTATTTTAAATGTAAATTGTTACTTACCTCCTAAATTCAAGAACAAAGGCACTTATTTTAAGAAAAAATAACATACTTTTTTTCCCAGCGTAAACTGAAATCCATAAATCATCATTAGCTCTTACCTCCCGTCTCTACCAGTCGGAGGTCATTGCTGTTGCCTTCATAGGTGAACAGAGCCCTTGAAGCACAAAAACAAGCAATGGGCGAAAACTATACACAATAATTCTATCCTACACTTTTGTTTTCAACAAAATAGCTCACCAGTCTGTGTCCGACTTAGCATCCACCACCTTCTTATAGGCGGCCGTCAGAGCAGGACCGTTTTTACTCAGGTTAACTGCCATCGTGTTCCAGGTCTTCAAACTCCAAACAAGCTGATGCTTTCAGAAGATTGAGAGAAATAGTTTGGGAAATAAGAAACTCTGGTTTCAGAAAAGATTCTGATCTCCTGTCACGTGTCCAACCAGTCAGGTTGGTTGATTTAAACCTGATGAGCCACATTCTTTAACAAGTTCCTCCCCTCTGACTTCAACACCTCCACTCTTTTATACCAAACATTAACACATCTATTTTAAACTGGTCCCTTGTAGATGTTTTTGGGAACTTTTATTCCATGTCAAATGTAACATAGCCTGAATATAGGATTGGCATGGCTGAGGGGAAATAAAAAGGAGTGTGAATGGCTGTGATTGTTTACATAAGGAACAGACGTCCCACAGGCAGGTATGGATTCAGCTAGTGTCTTACATAAGACATAGTGACATGAATGGCACTTATGGAAGATTTGACTCTTTGTCAATCTGCTCTACTTAGCAGCAGTCAGATGTTGACCTAAAATCGGGGGGGATTTACTCTTAGGCAATACTAGGCAGCTGCCTAGGGCCCCAAGTTCCTGGGGTTCCCCATACAACTTTGTTTATATGTATGGTTAATACAACTATTCCTTATTTGTGCACATTAATTATGTTTTTGATAAAAATATATCAAATATATCAAAGGTTTCTTCTTGTTAAAAGGGAGTTTTTCCTCTCCACTGCCGCTACATGCATGCTGGGTGGGTCAGATTGCGGAAGACTCAGATAGTAAACAGTCAATCATTCTGACTGTATGATCTGGTTGAATTTTCTCTGTTAAGCGTCTGTCATCATCTCAGCACTGATGCCTGGTCTAATTAATAATTTTAGACACCTGCTTAGCTCTTCTCATTTCTTGTTACAGCTTATCTGTAAAGGGGAGTGGCGGCCTATTGGGCATAGGGCTTTGGATCCTATGGTTGTGAGTTCGATCCCCCACAGACTGTCATTCTGGCTCCCTGAGCAAGACCCTTAACCCCACCCTTCTCCCTGGGTGCTGCACAATGGCAGCTCACTGCTCCCCAAAGGGAAGGGTTCAATGCAAAGAAGTAATTTTCTTCTGGGATTATTAGAGTACATAAAAAAAGAAAGATCTGATTCACTTGTGTTAGTCTCTCTTTAACCAGCCTTCAGACCAGTCATCAGTGCCATATTATTCCAGAGGTGGGTAAGAATTATTCTAGTGTACTTGGGTTCTGACGACCTGATCTTAACCTGTTCTGCCTCTCAACCTCCTAGCTTGCAGTTTCCCATCTGATCTTTTTCCGGACCTGTCTTCTGACTCCTGTCTGACCTCTCTCAGCAATATTTACCGACAACTGAGTCTGCCTGCCCTCATCCAGAACCGTGACCTGACTTGAATCTTGAATTTGCCTTCAGCGCCTCACTGGATCTCTGACCTCCCTGCTCTGAATGCCTACAAGGTCACTGACTTAGGCTTTGGCTTCACCCTCTGGGTCACCCTGCCTTCATCCGTGTGCTGATCTCCTTAATGTCCTCCGACCTCCCATGGAACAGCATCTGTTTTATCTTTTATCTCCCTTTTGTCTCCTTTCTTTCATCTTTTCTCTTTTTTTCAGTTTTTCCTTTCCTGTTCTACTTACATTGGAGTGTCAATAAAATCTGTAATCCTCCCTGCATGAATTATAATAAAATTATTTATATGCATAAATCAAGCGGAACACTATGGTGATAGCCGTACTGCTCCACTATTGAAAGCGAAACCTGTCGGGCTCTCGTTTTGGCATCAAGAATTATTCTTATTGCCACATCGCCAAACAGGGCACTGTTAAAAAAAAATAAAGGGACAGCGTCTGTTTATTGTAAGGCCAGGTTAGTGACTCACTTGTTCTTGATCATCCACTTTCACTAAGAAGTGGTCACTGACCTGCTGTCGCCACCTGCAGAGGTTCCTGCCCTCCAACCCGGTTTTGTTTTCAATAAAGGTTGTTTGCCTCAAATACCGGATCCTTCAGTTCAGAGCCTTGACAGCACCTTGAGATGGCATGAGTTTTGGCGCTATATAAATAGACTGTCAACCCCTGTGACTGAGATGCTACCTTTCCCAATCATTCCTCTTCATATATAACACCACTAACTACATACTGTGGAATAGTATAGTATATACTATGAAATTCTCATAGTAGCTTCGCCTCATCTGTTCTGCAGTGACACCATCCTGGAGAGAAATGGAACCTAGGCGGAAATTCAACTGAAGAAATTTGTTTTTTCATACATCCACCTGCAACACAGCCAATCAGCTTTGAACCACACCTCCACGAAAGCCAATCGGCATCCAAAGTTAATTTTAAAAGGCCTCTGATACGCACCTGTCTGCTCTTGTGCGCAGGCTGTGACTTCATTCAGAAGACAACCCCCCTCCAGCCCCTCCTCCACCATCGTAGCTAAAGCTTCATCAGAGCGTCATTCCTCCGGACTCTTATTGCATTCCCTGTCTCATCTTAACCGGTCCGGCAGAAGACCTCCATGCTGAGCCTGGTTCTACCAGAGGTTTCTTCCCAATGGGGAGTTTTTCCTCTCCACTGTTGCTCCATGCTTGCTCATCATGGACAGTGTCATGATCTGGCCTGTTTGCTCTCCCTTAATTAGTAATTCCTTTCACCTGCCCTCTTCCCTCCCTGCCTCATTATAATTTATTCCTCTCACCTGTTTCCTCTGGTTTATATTCAGTTCAGCCTGAGCATTCAGTGCCAGATCATTGCTTGTCTTTCTGTCAGTCTTTCTGTTCAGTTTTTATTTGGTTCATGTCCTGGATCCTGGCAGCCAGTGGAAAGAGGGTTTTAGTGTTTGTCTCGTCTCCTGATCGTCCACTGTTCCTCCCCTGCGGAGTCCTCTGGGTTTTTGGCTCATTATGGGGGGGGGTTCAGTTTTTATCTAAGTAAGCCTGGCTCCTGGGTGGAGACCAGTTTAAAGTCTGCTTCAAGTTCCGGTTCCACATCCTGTCTCGGCTACCCTCTTCCACTGAGCCTGCCTGTCTGCACCTGAACCTGTCTGCTCCTGTGCGTGACCACCTGGTCATGCTTCTGGTCCCAGTAAGACTCTGAACCCTCCTGGAAGCCTGTGGATGCCTGGAAGTCTGGATCCTGCCACCTGTCTCTGTTCCTGCCTGATCTGGATCCTGCCTGTTTCTGTCTGTTCCTGTCTGTTCTGGATCCCTGACCAGGATCAGCTTCCACCATCACCTCTGGGACTGCAGCACTGGGACACTTGTGGTCTGGACTGTTAAACCAGGTAAGTGACCAACACAGTTAATCTTCTATTGGTTGATCGTGGTCACTTACCTGTGTTTCCTCCCTAGAGTGTCTGAGATTGGGCGGTGCCCCGCCCCCCCTGCCTGCAGTGTCCGCGAGCCACAGCTCCGCTTTTGTTTTGTTTTTATTTTAATAAACCTTTTGAACTTTCCTACTGACTGTCTCTCCTGAATACTGGGTCCATCTGTCCTCGGTTCATGACAGACAGATTCTCTCAACCTGTCTTATCCAACTGGACTTCCATCTTCTCTAGTCCCTGGGTGAAGCTCTAGCATCAGCTCACGCAGTCCACTGGATCTCCCCATAAAGCTCAGCAGACCATCTCTCCAACCAGCAGTCTACAGACTGACCAACTCCATCTATCTCCACTCCACCACCAGTTTCAGGCCTGGGGGGGAAACAGCCTTGTTCTTTGCACCTGTTCATGCATATCTATCAAAATTAAGTGCTATGTTTCCTGCCGAGGCCTGAGCGCCACAGACCAAGTAATTGTATCAATAAATTTCTCCTAATTGTCTTTTTTCTTTGTGTGAGTTTTTCAGATTGAAATATCAGCTGTGCTGCTGCCATCAACACCTTCGTTTATAGATGTTGGAGATCGGCCTGTTTTTCCAGTGTAGTCCTGTTTCTCTGACCGTGACTGGCTGGATGTTTTCTCTTCATCATCATCAGAACTCGTCTGCCCAGTGGGCCTCAGCAGATGGCCGCTCACACTGAGCCTGGTTCTGCTGGAGGTTTCTTCCTGTTCAAAGGGAGTTTTTCCTCTCTACTGTCGCTACAAGCATGCTTAGTGTGAGGGATTGCTGAAGAGTCAATGAGTCGATGCAATCAGCTGGTTTTACTTAGATAGAAAACTCTGAATCAATCTGACTGGATGATCTGGTGAACTGGAAAGTTACTTGAGATGACATGTGTTGTGAATTGGCAATATGTAAATAAACCGAAATAAATTGAATAGAAGTGGGTTCGTAGACAAAAACTGAACTCAAGTAAATTTTGCAAAATTTGGCATCTAAAAATCTAAAATAAATGTAATAGAAGAAAAATAAATCCTGATTATCAAATTACATTAGTGCAGTGGTTCTCAAACTTTTTCTGTCATTCCCCACTTTGGACAAGGGGGAATTTTCAAGCCCCGCCTGTCCCCATCGCCCCAACACAATGCTAATGAAATATGCAACAATCTTAAAATTTTCCAATTTTATTGAAGTAACAAGTAGTATCTAAATACAAACTATCTACATCAAATAACAGCAAGCTCAAAAATAAAGAAAATAAAAATGCAGCTGTGTCAAAATTTGTATCAAGCTCAAAGATAGAAAAAATTAAAGTGCCACTCTGCAATCTGTTAATAAAAGAAAAGAAGTGAAATCCATCTGGCAAGACAGGTCTATTTATCCCTGCATTAGTGGCTGCGATGAGCCTGTTTTGCATTGCACAGTTTCTCAAAACGGGGTTGCAGGCTTGATACTGCCACTCTCAAGTCATGCTCAATGTTCAGCTGAGATCTGTATTTTGTTTTCAGTGAAGCAACAGTTGAAAAGCCCATCTCACAGAGATATGATGTGGAAAAGGGAAGAAGAATGCACACAGCTCTCTGCCCGATGAGTGGAAACTCCCTCTCCACTCCAAACCAGAATTCACTATTAGTCTGAGCATTAAACCTGAGCCTCAGGGTGGAGTCAGACGTCATTTCAATAAACTGGTCCTATTTATTTAAGATAAAATATTTCAAATTCAGTTATTTATGATCAACCTGCGCCGTCAATCCCGGCGCATGTGCGCTTCATTTGCAGTCTGGACGCTGAGGGTAAA